TGATGATGACATGCCCTCCACTGCAACAGCTGTTAATAGAGGTATTAAAAAGCAAGCACAATAGTGAGACATCAGCCAACCTGGAAAATTATTTCCAAGAGTTTTAACAGAAACTGAAGCAGTTCTTTGGCTCCTAATTTGTCAAACACTGAGGAAGCACCAGAGATGGGAGGAGAGCTAATATTGTGCCACTGTTTAAAAAGGGTAAATGGCACGACCCAGGTAATTATAGACCTGTCAGCTTGACATCAAACCCAGGCAAAACAGCGCAGCAGCTGATAAGGTATTTGATTAATAAAGAATGGAAGGAGGGAAATATAATTAATGCCAGTCAACACAGGTTTATGAAAATACATCTTGTCAAAATAACTTGATTTGTTTTCTAGATAAGATTGCTGGTTTGGTTGATATAGGCAATAGACTGGGAACTTCTACTGCGTATTTCTCTTAGTATCACATGAAACTTTTATTAAAACACCAGAATAACACCAAACTATCATACTACCTATTGAGTGGGTTAAAAACTGGCTGACAGGTCTAAAAATGTCATTACAAATGAACAACATCTATTGAGTTGTATTTTTGTCCACTCTTATTTAACATCTTTGTCAATAATGCAGAAGAAAAAAGTGTCTCTAAAGACCACAGAGGATCAATTGACCAGGAGGATGATATATTATTAAGCAGCTTTGCTGCTGATCCAGAGTAATTAGGATCATTTAGCTAAAATGTACTGAACAGACTGAAGCACTATCCCTTAATGTCCTGTCAGACAGCCTAGAAGGCAGGGCTACAAGGATGGTGTCTCTTCCTTATTGCATTATTCAACACATCTACTCAACAGGACTTCTTCCATCTAAATTTCCCCAAGCTAGCTAAAGTACCTACACCATGGCCAACACAGTTCCACCCACATTGGTCCACAGCTTGAGCAGTTTTCCATGAACACAATACTGGTTTTATTGACCCCTTTACTGAGATTTTTAGGAGTTCATGGCCCGGGTTGCCTCCTGTTCCCAAAAGGAGGCTCATGAATTTTTCTCTGTATGGATGAGGTACAATATCAAGAGACAACAAATTTGTCAAGGTCTTGCAAAATCAGAACCTTCATGAGGCCTGGAACTGTCTGAGGCACATTAAGGGTATTTTATGTGGGTGATACTTCAGGTGATGATACGCTCACAGAGGCTGATCTCAGAAATGAGCAGCCCACATAACCTTAATATGATATTGATGTCAATGTCACAGAAAAGCTGTCCAAGACCCTCTCTGCAGCCCACTTAAGAGGGGACCAGAGACAAGCCATTCCATGCTCAGCAGAGCAATTCTCATAACTACATAATTGTTAGAGTCTCTCTTTGTGATACTGAGTGACCATTGCATGAGACATGCTCTGAGAAGCAAAAGAGCAACAGGGCACCCTCCCAGCATGAAGTGAGGAAGCTGCTCCAAGGATCTTCATTTAGTGATATTTTTCACTAGGGCAAGGATGAGGACAGGACATCCACTGTCTTTCACAACTGCCAGAAAGATAATGTTGAGCAAGTGATATCTGAGAGGACAACTTGGAATTTGCCCATCAAATTGAACTGCTTTTAGTTCTTTGCAAGGCAAAAAAGGGCTCCTGACATCATAGAAGTAATTACGCACTCTAACTTGTAAATTCTGTATGGCACCCCACATGCCTCATTGTGGAAACAGATTTATAAGCAGTTGCTAAATTTCTGATTTGGACTTCACACAGAAAAAAAAGAAAAAGAAAGTAACTTTTCTGGTTTATTTTAGGATTCTGTTAGGTATAGTTCTATTTTAGACAATGCAAAAACTTCTATCAACACTCTTGGCACTGAACAAAACCTCAGCCTTTATTATATTTTTATGGGGTCTGTTATTCTTTGAGAGGTATTTTAATGCATATCGTTGTTTCCATTTTAGCAAGTGTTGCTCATTTTTTCAGAAGCAGATGGTGTTTACTGAATGTTGTTTGTTCCAAAAATAAGCAACATCCAACTGTTCACTTTGGAGGTGTGAAAGAGGAAAGGTCTGATGCATAAACACAGCTTCTCCCTTTTACTTCCCCTTGTTTTTTTTCTGGTGAAAGAAGCTGCCAGTGTCTCCTTACAAGCTTCTAAAACTGAGGAGTTTGTGCTGTCACGCTACCAGAGAGGGCACACAGCTCCAACCAGTGTTGCTGCCAGACCAAAGCAGTAGCTAACAGCTCCTGGGGTGCCAGCTCAGAGGGCTTTGTTACAGCTTCTTTGCAGCCCACCAAAGGAAGAAAACACTTCTTTCTAGCTGGTGTTAGTAGTCAGCCAAAATGAGGGCACATCATGTTCCCTCTCTGGCCGATAGAGAGAAGCAGGTTTTTTTTGGTAGCACAAATAAAATGTCTCTGTTGAATAAGGAGAAAACCTGTTAAGACTGATTTCCATCTTATGAGTTCCATAAGCAAATGAGGTCTCCACTCTGCTGAACTCCCACTGTGTGTACCTGGGCAGGAACAGCAGGCTGCACAAAGTCCCAAGGGATGGATTTTCTGTGCATCTACTGTTTTTCAGGACTGGGCTTTACCAGAAGGAGGGACATGTGTCAGGGATGAGAGGACAGATATATTCTGACTCTCATCTAGAAGCCTGGAAAAGTACACAAGAGTCACAAGGAGACAGTTCTAGAGTCAGCATTACAAAAATGATCTGTAACAACCTGAGCAGGGATAGATCTTTGCCAGGATCCCAGACACCAGATCCATACCTGAGGTTTACTCTGAAGGGACAGGCCCAGAGCTCCAGGAGTACCAGCTTAATGGGGCTTGGGGCTGCACTGTGCTATCCACACACACCTGGAAACACCAGTGTCAAGCCCTGCCTTGGTATTCGCACCTCTACTGTGAGCTCCACCTCATTAATCTTCCTCCCGACCTGAATAAACCAAGGCTGGTTGCTTTGCTTTGATTAGACAGTTAAAAAGTGACAATTTTGCCAAGCTATCTGGCAGCACACCCTAACATCCTTTGCTAGATGAACCTTCTTATTGACCCCTGAGGGCAGCTGCTTGCCTGCAAACAAGGCTGAGAAAGGATCTAGGAATACCAGCTACTAAACCTTGTCAGACAGGAGAACCTGTGGCATTCCAGAATATCTTTTCTGAATAAAGTATTAAAAAAGAGAACCACTGCAGGGTGCCCTATTATGTTTTTAAAACACTCCAAGTTTGCTTAGTGTTTATCCAAAAAATCTAATTATACCTGCAGCTTAATGTAAATTGCTTGATAAGTAAACACAGAAATAGGAGCTCAGTGACTGCTATGCTTTCTTTAAAATGCTGTCTTGAAGGTTCATTATGCTAAATACAAAAGAGAAGATAATTTCTTGCAATGAACTTATTAAAGGCAAATTTTCTACAGAAATTATTATAGCATGATTGCACAATAGCATATAATTTGCTTTGTTGGCATTTTCAGTGGGAATCTTACCAACAGTAAGTGTGGATGGGAAAAGTGGTTGCAGGGCCACCACTTGTGTTGTTAGGAGCTGTCAGCAGTGATTCAGGAGGGAGATGCCCCAGCCCAGAAGAGGAGCATTGGCACAATAAGCACAGCTGACAACAGGGGAAGAAACCCAAAAACTAATTTTTTGCACTCACACTTATCCCGATGGTAGTAGAACAGCTGGAATTCTTGGTGGCAGTTCAGAAGATTTACATGGCACTGTTATGGTCACAAACAGCAGAACGTCTTGTGCTAAGTCTCCAGGTCTACAAATGGGATCCAAACTAGGCACATCTACATGTTTGTGTTTCTGTCAAGGCAGCCAGAAAGGTACAACATGGAGTTATGTGATGCTAATGTCCTCATGCTTTCTTAATGCCACAAAAAAGAGTGTAAAGCAGACCTGATACAGGGGGGAAACAAAGTGGCTCAGATGATAATGGCACTGCATGACATATGACTTGGCATGCACAAAACTGACCCATTTAAAACAAAATATGACTTTGCATCACAGCCATGGTACTTCTGCACAGCAGGAGGAGGCCTGAAGTCAGTGACACCTTGTGATCCACCCACCAATTTAGGAGAGAGTTTCCAGAGAAGCTACAGGGAGCACATCTCAGTTGGGTTTGAGTTGTGGGGTTTTTCTTGTAGAGGTGCAACCAAATAAAAGGAACAGCTACCAGAATAGGTAAATGTGGCCACAGCTCTCTTCATAGAGAGATCCTTTCCCAGGATTTCCTGGGAGAAGCTTTGAGAGAAGCAGAGAAAGAAGAAAAACAGAATAGAAAAAAAACCACCTGCAAGATGTTTATACTAACAAGTTATCGTAGTTTCTACAACTCCCTAAAAGGTCTCACAAGCCGCTATGAGAAACAATTGTTGTTTCTCTCTCTCTGACCAGGCTGCCATCCACAGGTAAACATAAGAATGATAAACCTGAGATCGACCCCTGAAATACCTGTTGACTCTAAACAGCAAACAGCTGGATATTAATTTGTCCCCACATAAGTTAAACATCCGCAGGACACAGATGCAATTTTCCCTGCAAGGCACCAAAAAAGTTCCAGAGCCGTCCAAGCCTTGGCATACATTGCAAGGAAATGGGGCTGCTGCGGTGAGGAACTGCTCTGGGACAGCTGTGTTTTTCATGCCTGGCCATGGCCGGGCTGAAGGTTATTGGGTGGATTGAAACAATCACAAAAGAAGTTTGTCTTTCACCTTTCTAGTCTCCTGAGAGACTTTTATTTCCCACCAGTTTCAGTCTGATGTTTTAACTTTGTCAAACTGTTCCTAGGAATTGTATATCAGTTTGCACTGCCTTTGAAAGTTGGTTGTTATCCTGAAAGTGCAGGAAGTGGGGATTAAGTCCATTAAATGTTGTTTGAACAACTTTCTTTTCACTCGGTGTTGTGACTCTGCAGCTTGCCAGAACATTTCAGCCTCTTTCCAGGAACTGGCACTCCAAGATGAAGCATGGCTGTCTGAAGATCTGGCATCTCTGCTTTTGTAGGTATTATATTGGAAGAATTGGAGAAGAAAACTCGATGGCAGAGGAGAAAGAAACATCCCTGGCACCACCTTATGCAAGCGGAACACAGAGGACCTGGGTTTCAAAGAAACCCTCTGCTGTTTGTGGGATTCAGGAGCACAGTACATTATTCAACTGGAAAATGTGACAACCTAATCATCCTGAAGGGTACTATTATTGTCTGCTTAATATGCTTTACAGTCCTGATGAACAGGAAAGGCTGGCTGACAAGTGTAGGATGATGTATCTAATGACTCCATATTATCATGATGGATCCATAAAAGGAATTTAATTTCACAGTTTGGGGAAAATACAGACCATACGGCCAACTTTTAAGGCCACAGATTTCAGCAACCTGGACAAATAATTCCAGTTTAGGATAGTCTTATTCATTCAATGCTTATCTTTACTTGTTGCTGCTTAATTTAAATTGGGGGCCTAATTCCAGAATCTGTGAAGATTTACACATTACAGAATGAAAATCATGTTTGCTAATTACTGGGTAAAATCAACAAAAATGTTTTGCGTTCAAATCAGATGAAACAGTGTATTTGAAAATTTCTTGGGTCAGGATTATGCATCAAAGCAGCTTAAATTGCACATGCAAAAAAATTTTAATTCTCACATGTGTCACTGGTGCAGAATATGAATTTCTTCTGGGCAATTGCACATGACAATCTAATTATTTTATATACACACATAGACCAAATTGAGTAAAATGAAGACTTGATCAGGTTTTAAGTGTATTATTTAGTTTTGAAAATAGGCCCCCTGTCTCTTCTGCTGTCATGAAAGATATCACTTTACAGAGGACATAACCTTCAGAAGTGTATTTGGAATGATTAAGGGTTATTTGGTAATCACAATCACATCTGAAGTATGGCAACAGAATAGGAAATGGTGCAGGCAGGAGTTTGATTATAGTGGTGCAAATCTGGGGAATCAAATACAAGCTTAAAATTAAAGTTCACCATCTTGGAAAGTGGAGATGGTCCGAGCCTTCCTGACTAATGAATTAATATGAATCATAGAAAATAGAATATGCTGAGTTGGAAGGGACACATCAGGATCATTGAGTCCAACTCCTGGCCCTACACAGGACAATGAAAGACTTGTGCTTCTTCCTCTCACTGCTCTGCACATTGGAGGTTTCTGCAGTCCTGGTTGGCAAGCCTATCAAAGTCCACACAAAGCCACGAAGGCCTTCAGCAGAATTCAGAAGTACTACCCGCAACAAAAAACTGTCTCTTCATGTGAGTATTAACTGGTTCTTTTACCACTAGGTAACAAAAGGTAAATCATACATAAAGATACAGAACTGTGTCAAATCAGAAAAAAAAACCTGTTAGAGACTAAGGGGGCAGATCTTTTGGCTCTTCCCTGGTTCATACTGTGCTGTGTTCATACTTTTCTTGTCAAGCAAAGAACTTGCCTACTTCATATACCCAGCATTGTGGCTACTCTCATTTTCTCCGCAGAAATTTTGTACAATTATCTTGATATGTGTTAATGGAATAATGAATGTGCATGTCCTGTTCAAAAAAGTCTAGAAGATTCATCATAGAATCTAAACTGGCTATCAGAAAAAAAAACAATCAGAAAAATCTAGAGTTCAGCCCTATCTCGTTAAAAGTTGTGTCTATCCAATTTGTTTTATTTAGCACTTTAATCTGTCCATTAGGAAGTCTTCAGCTTGGTGACCATTGGTGGGTGGAGATGAATGACCTCTGAAACACCTTGGGCACTGTACATGCAGAGTCAGCCCAATGTCATTGTAATTTTTGGTTAACTGAAGATTTTCTTCAGGAGGAATTAAAAATTGGAGCCAAACAATGAAGGTCGTTGGTTGGTTTACAAGGACCTCAAAGAAAATGTATCAATACACGGGCCAAGATGATATTTCCTCTTCTAGCTACACCCAAGTGCAATGTGTGTAACAGTGTGGGAATCACGGACTTTGCTGAATGATTTTAAGAAGTGAAGCACGGAATGCCACTGGACATCTAATCCTTCTAATCCAAAATTTATGCAATTATTTATTTCAGTGGATGATTCCCGTGAATAAAGTGAGCAGGATTTGGCTCTGGTTATGGATAAGTGAAGAGGACACCCAAGCATAAAATGGCAGCTTAGAATGACAGAGGAGCTCCTAACCCTGGGGAGTCCATTTAAGCCAGCTAGCATAGTTTAGACAAAGCACTAAGAGGGGACACGGTCCCTTTCTGAAAAGAAAGAAAGGAAATTGCCCCTAAAAGAAAAATCCATAATCAGGATGACCATCAATAGAAGAGATTCCCTGTTGGTGAGGTACCTTCTTTCGACTGAGAAAATTCCCCACGTTTGTTGATTTTGATCCAGCTGCCCTGACTTGGATTTGTAACCACCAGATGCATTGCAAACAACTACGGATATTCTAAAGAAAATTAAATAAAGGCTTTTTTTAGACCAATAAGTAGCATTCTTGCAGATGGATGCGGAAGACAATCAGTCACAAAATGGATAAAATTGCTGCCCCCCTTCCGAAATATTTAAGGCGCCCACATCAAGCTGCCTTTGGTTTGTATACATATCAGATTATAGAAGATCTGTCTCTTTATAATTTTTCTTAAAAAGGATGGCAGTCTTAGTTCAATAGAGTTAGTGAGACAATCCTTTAAGCTGTGTCAAAATGCCAGTTATCCTAAGATGCCACCCAGATTTGAATAATTTAGAAAGAGACAAAACCACAGAAAGGAGGAACCATCCTTTGACTACTTCTGCTTTTGACACGGCTGCCTCCTTCTCCTTTTTACCAAAGCATCTTCGTCTCTCTATCAGTCATGACAAGTGCCAATCAACCCTTCTCTTTCTAAGGTTCTGGGGGGAAAGTGAAACATGAAGCATTTTCTAACAATCAGTGACCAAAAGTCCACTATCAGTGTGTGGTCTGGGGGAAGCCAGCCTTTTCCTTTTTCACTTCTAATCTCTGACCCACTATTTACCTCTTCTTTTTTTATATACTTTAATCTCTTTGTTGCTCCAAAGGATCCTAAACAAATTGTAGGTCAGCGTGGATTAGGCTGCTTTGTTACCAATGATTAGTACATTTACTTTTGCTTTAACATCTTCAGCAACAGCTGAATGTCAAAAAGATCCAGCAAGAGTTTGTTTAATCACAACAAAAACTATACCCACATAGTCTTACAATTGCATTGTCAGTCTCAGCATAAAAAATAGGAGATACAATAGGAGACAGTGACCGTGGACCTGCATTGTTAGCATGTGTTTTCAGAGGTACTATTTCAGTAATTCAGTATTACTACAACCAGATTCACAGTAACCTTCAGTCGATCAGGATAAAAATTAAGCTTCAGGTATTTGCCTTAGAGTCTGAATTCTTCTCCCATTTACACAGTAGTTGCACTGGATTCAGAAACAGTTTATGCAGCTTGAAGTTGTAGAAATATATTCAGTCGAGAAGTTATATAAAGTTGCTCAACAATCATACAAACATGAGGATCAGAATTAAAGTAGGGAATTATCAAATACTGGGCTAGTTTCAGAAAAATGTACAAGGATCAGATCTCTTAAAGCAACCAGATGCAGGTAAGCTTTCTTAAACCAGCATTGCATCGGCCCAGCCCATGTGCAACAGAGTGTATCTTGCTGTGATTTACATGTAGTAGGCTACATAACGATAAAAATGGGCAGAAGAGGAATTTCATTTGGAGTCCCTTGATACTGAAATTGCATCTACATAAATAATCACCTTATATATTAACAAGGCCAGGGTTAGGAAATCTTTGTATGATGCTGTAAGATCACCTTTTTACCCTGTTGCTCCACCTTATCTTCCCACATCAAATTCAAGGTTTTTGTCATCAAAGTGGCATTACCAAAATTGACAAAGTTTTTCTTTTAACTGACATTGTTTCTCATGCTCCAAGCACCACCTGAAATATCAGACCTGGCCCTTCTTTGTTCATGTTGCTGACAACTCCTGCCATTGTCTTCTCACATTTATTTGATGTAGGAAGTGACAGTCCCAATCTGAATTATCAAATCACTACCTTCCTCTGCATCCAAAATGCTCCTGCCTTCTATCACCATGAAAAAACCCTTCTCATTAAATTTTCTATGGGAAATTTCCCAGAAAAATACTCCTAGTACAAGAAGCGGTTGGAAGTATCTGATATAACTGGCAGCTTAGTAAGGTTTCCAGTTGCTTTTAATTTCAGAACTTTAGTTGTTTGAGAGTTTTTTGCCAGTGGTGCTAATGTGATGATATGAAGGTTTATATATCAGAAGTTATTGCTGTGTTTCTTTTTAGTGACAGAAAAAATGAAACTCATACCCAGGAAAATTTTAGAAATGTTTGAATGATTTGGAAATTGTAAAAATACACACAAATACACAGAGTCATCTCCAGTATCTTAGAAGAGTCATCCAAATTCGCCCATTATAGCATCTATGAAGTATACTATCAGTATAAATAATCACTATCCTTAAGGCCAGAGAAAGAATGAACACAGATATGTGTGATATTGGAGAAAAGAAAAATGCAATCATTGGATTATAAATCATCCAAGATCTTTAAAGTCCCCAAACTGAGCAATCAAACCCTCAAAATCAAGTGCTATTTGAGAGCAGCCTTCATTGAGCAATCTGTGAGATGTGTAATAAAGACAAACAGAGAGATCAGATGAATAAAACCCAACAGCAAGCATGAGCAGAGATCAGATAAGAAAAGTGACTAGAACCCAGGGATAAACCAGGAGTTTATCAAGGGAATCAGAACTGTTTGTTATCAGACATTCAGGCTGGTGCACTTTAACGAGAATGTAAATACAATATATAAAAATTAAGAAGGCCTTAAGGAAATAATCCTCGCCTTACTGTACCATCCTGAGTCGTAGGCAATTGTGAAGTAAAGTGACTGTCTCAGCTCTCCAGTGTGGATTCAGTTTTGCGAAAACCTGTCAAAAATATTACAATAAATGAGACTGAGCAAGGACTAAGATATTTTTATAATATACTTTTCTAAATATTAAC